ATCAAAGCAAATACTTTTTTTAATCATTTTTCTGTCAGTTTTGAATTGCAAACGTCAAGTGGTCAATATACAAATCAAAAAAGATTACGTCCAATAAAATTTGACATATGTGGCGCATGCAAAGCACGATCGATTCGGCAATCCCAGAAATTGTCACAGCACGTTCGGTTGAGCTGGGAAGCATTTCGCTTGCTACCTGTATTGATGCACCTGTTGCCTACAAATGAAATCCAGGAAAATTTTAATCAAAGATGACCGCTTCCGGATCACCTTCCCCTTGATCGAGGCAAAAAAAAGGAAACTCGTTTATAACAGCAGGCTATGTTAATACTCTATTGAACTGGAAGTAGGCATTAACTCGAGATACACAGCCTAGGATCGAAGAGTCTGTCATACCTAAGCCCGGCGTGCTTTGAAGCTCCCAGTAATATCACTAGCATTGGATACGTACACTGATTGTCCTTGCTATCTTTCTGTGATGTTAAGACTGTCGCTCGACGCTCGGCTTTTTCTCGAGAAGTCTTAGTTCTTTTGAAAATAAGCAAGTCTATTTCAAGCCGAATTGAATCAAACCTTCTACCCGTATAATGATTATTTTTATAGCACGATCCAACTTGAAACTGTCAATATTTTACGTAAACGATGTTACGGATTATGTAAGTTTATCAATAGAAAAGACATATACACCTTGTCTATTGACAACTTGTTAATTTGCTTGTATGGCACCCATTATTGTTTCTGTACTGTGTTTGGATTATAACAGGACTGCCCAAACAAAGATCTTATGTTAGTGATATTACTGGGATCCTTTCACACGCCGGATACAGATGCGCCGGGCCTTTCGAGCTTGAAATGCATACCTCCAGTTAGTACCCACCATCTGTTCCATTTGATCGTCACTGCTGTGAAGGAGGCCTAAGAAATGATCGGAGGGATGGCTTGAATACAGTCAGTTGATGCTATAATTTAGTTAATCGATTTTTTATTATTTTAAGGGAATAAATATGTACTTCGCGAATTTCCTTAATTTTTGAGCCACTTTTGCCGATGATACAACCGCACTGAGTTGCAGGCACTATAAGACGCATTGTGATTGGAGGTTTCGGCACACTGTTGGGAAGAGCTTGTAAATCCTAAAAGGTTTGCATGAGTGTCTGTATGTAAAATGAAAGCGCATTATAGCGCGATCATACCTCTGTTTGTCTGAAAAAAAATTAGTTTCAAAATTTCAAAAACCAGAAAGTTAATTTTAGGAACACTGATTCTGACTCTGCACTGCGCATAATGCTGAAATTATTTTGTATCCCTTAGTCAGTTGTTCGTGAATAAATTAAGCCTAAATTTTTAGTTGCAGTAACCTACCCACAACTGAGACGTTTTCGAAGCCAAAAACGGCTAACGTCTCAAGAAAATCTAACTTATACGATTTCTTCTACAACATTCAAAATCTACCTGAAAAACATAAAAGTGGTGACCGGTTTTTGGTCATTCACATCAAAAAAAAGCTGAAATTTTTCGGATGGGGAAAATGAGTTCCATATCCACGAAATTTAGGAATAAAGGCGGAGAAGTGCGCCTGCATCTCATTCAATTTCTTCAGCCTTACTTTAGCTCATCTCATCTTAAACTGACTATTTCTATCACCTACTTTTGGAGAACGGAGGCCGCAAATGGGGTAAAAGGATCAGCACGAACTGATATATAGAATTATGTTTTCTCAAAATTACTTCTCAAAATTACTGAAGAATGGAGAAGTTGCCAGATGTATCAGTGAGAGAAGAAAAGCGACAAAGAAACAGCAGCTGACCAACTGCATCTGTTCGGAAATAATATAACAAAAATTTTCTGAAGAAAATGACCTGTTGCAATTTAGCGCAAATCATTGCAAATGCTTTGTTAATGGTATCAGTGGTACCCGTAATAGTAACAATACGCTCCGGACACGATCCATCCGAAATATTAATTTTAGCACCGGATCCATCACGAATCGATTTGATATGGTCTCCACGCTTGCCAATTATACTACCAACTTCCTGCAAGCAGCAACATTTTTGCAAATGCCTTTAGCTGTATGTAAACCGTGAATGATAACGTTTTATGTTATATTAGTTGGAATTATATGTAATAAAGCAAATATAATTTGCTCAAACGTATGGTGTGCTTTGGATACGGAGAGTCCAGGATCAAAGCCGATTGGACGGTTTTGGCTACAGCAGTGATGAATCTGTACCGAACTAGTAGATTTTTCAAGTATCAGATAAACAGTAAATCTTAATTGCAAATTTGACAAAAAAGGAATTTTTGCTTTTTGTAGAAAACCAAATGTGTTGTTTTAGCAAAATATCAGTTTTCTGTGCATTTTCCATCGTCTAAGCCAGACGTTGGCATTGCTGTGTAAATAAAATGCACAGTGCTAACTCGTAATCAAATCTCAGAAATGTCCAATACTATCATTGCCCCATTCCCATTCCGGCTCTTCTCAGCAGCATGAGAAAAGCTCGCTTTTTTCAAACGAAATTTTTTCACAAAGTCTCGAATCGTTGCATTTAAAACAGTCTTTTTGGGTGTTTTTCGCTGTTCAGCTTCTTCTTAAGCTTCAATAATTCGCTCCTCGTCCTTCTCCCTCCTACGCGCATTTCGGAATCCTTCGGCCTCTGTTTCTCCAAGCTGCTGAGCCACACTTTTGCAATGCGATATTTGATCAGCCTTCGCTATGATACTTCTATATCTCCTTACTGGTTCCCTATATAAAGAAAGCTCATACACACAGTGAGA